AGTAGGTACCAGGCAAACTTTGTTTTAGACAGTCAGCCTGTCAAACACCCCACAGGCATCATCTCTTTTGTGTAATCTCCTTTGTTTGGGACAGTACTGTTGCCATTATTCATTCCAAACTTGTATCTAACTTACTGCCCAGTATCACTTCTAGCTTTCCTTCAGCTTTAGTGCTGTTTTGGATTATTTTTCATTGGCTCTATTTGATTGACTCTAGGAAAATGCAATCTCATTTGTTTCCTGAACATAAATAATTTTTGAGGCCCATGAGAGCAAATGCTGTTTACCTTGACTTAGTCTCAATGCTTCTACTTTCCTTAGCTGTAAAATGGTTGAATACTTGCCTAACACAGGGGTTGGGAGGATTAATTAGCTATTGTTTGTACAGCACATAGGAAAAAAAAGATGTAAAACATAATTTCTGCCTCACCCCCCACACCAGAGGCTGTACAGGTCATGCCATAGGACCTACTCCAGGGGGCTTCAGCCAGATTTTCTGGGGCTGAAAGTCCTACCCTCACCTGCTCCCATTTAATTTGGACACCAAGTCGTGGTTCTGGCTGCTAAACAAGGATCCTGTCATAGCCTCTCCTCCTGACTTACATCTCCACTCATTACTATCAGAGAAGAATCTGGAGACCAGCTATGAGGGAGACACTGACAATGTTACCTGTCTTTCTCCACTCCATAGCAGCAGGATCAGCCATCTGTCTTTTAAGTCTCCAATGATGAAAGTAGGGAAACTGAGAATATGGGTGTAACTAGCCAATACACACTATTTCCTGTCATGTGATGGGGTGTAGACATATATAACCCTGACCCATGTAACTTGACTAGGGCCAAGAAATAAACTGAAATCTCTTACAGCACTCATGTATGGAAGAGTGAGAACTTGAGGAGGTGGATACAGCACTTCCAAATTTTCCTGCAAGCAAGTGGCACGGAGGAAAAATCAAAGATGGTGAATGCACAAATCTTTCCAGTAGGAGGATGAGAGGACTACAAATTGTTAGACAAAGGCTTTCAAGAATACTTTGATCTACACACGAATATCACTTGAGAAAGATACACTGTCTTTACATGAAACCAGCTACCAGGTGAGACCTACGTAAGGCTGAGTCACATGAATTTGAACTGTTAGGAGATGGACTAAAAGGAGTCGAAATCGTTTGTGACATAACTGATAGTCAAGTCAAGGAAGGTATTGTGAGAAAAGGACTTGATTTTGTAAATAACAGTAAGTATTTTCAGGACTAGTGTAAACAATGCTTCCCAAATAAAAGTGCTAGCAAGCAGTGAAAGAATTTTAATTAGGCCTTCAAATGCAAGCACTATTCCATCAGAATAGCTATGTCTAGTCTTTAAAATGCAATGAGATTTGCATTTTGGAAGCAAGTCAAGAGTTTTGACAAGTCTCACTCAATACAGAGGGCTAGATAATCAGCTGCAAAGGGGCTTCTTTGCAGCACCCCTGCACCACAAGCTAGGCTTGAAGTTGGTCAGGTGGGGATTCCTGTGACATAATGGAATTCCCAAGGGATGCAAAGCCAAACACCAAATTCTACAAAACCGAATATGACGCGTCGGTGCAATGGTAAAAGGCAACATTTTATGTTCAGTGAAAGAGAAAAGTCAATTATTAGTTTCATTTTACTCTAAAACACTTTTGACACAACTTCCTTAACAACCTATTTTCTAGGTGCTCATTATGGAAGCTCTGGTAATTATTCCAGATTTAAAAGTTGAGTTTCATTTTCCACCTAAAGCAAGGATCCAACCACTTCATTTTCTATGAAAGGTACAATGTATCCTCCCCAAATTTAAGAGCACTTACTCTGACTACAGAATTAGTTTTCTGATAATTTACAAGTAAATTTAATAAGTTTGAGTTAAAAGTCTTGGCTTGTAATTAACTTTAAGAAATTTAGCATCTGTCAGTCATCTTTGTCCCAAATGACCTCAACAGAATAACATAGATGCTTCGAACTTTCCATATAGTTAAAATTTCATGGAAATCTTATGCATGGGCTATATTTGAATTAAATAGGTTGTAATTAAACTAAGTTATTAGCAATTAGATATGTTTGTTATAAAGGCTCAGCTCAACAGCCTCGGTAACTGAAGAGGGACCATTGTGACATCAGAGGTAACAACCAATCACTAAACTTGCTCTATAGCTAATTAGCATGCATTATTCTATTGGTTGTAATGATTCAGGGGTATGGGGAAGAATGAACAAGTGTCAAGAATACATTATTCTGGTTAGTACATTATTTGCTCAACTGTCACTTCTCTTTAAAGATTCAGTAGGCATTCGCTACTTCTGCCTTGGCTCCACTGTGCACTGAGGCAGGAGGACCCCTTAATGCACAGAGAATTGGGACTCGGGGGCGCTCCCTTCAGAAAGCACCAGTCTCACCAACATAACCCTCCAAAATCAGGAAGAGAACTGCAAGTTAAGGGCTAAATTCACCAATATACTCTGGCTGCTTCACACTTTTCTAGCAATACAAAGCAGCGTAATTGGACAGTGCTCTCTGGCTGCTTTGGTGTATCTGTGAATCTTCTCTTAAAATGAAATGTGATTTCATGACTTAAAGGTAAAAACATTACAGGGATGTTATAATTACCCCAAACCAAGCATTAACCCAGACAATTCAGAGTTAAGGTTACGCTTAGAAGAAATCCAAAATGTATTAAGGTAAGAAATTCACAGTTACATCACCTAAACAACCTTAACTTTGCACTGTACTCATGGCATGAAGGAAAAAATATGTATCAACTGAATGGCTTCAAAATCAGTTTAATCTAATCAAACTATAAACGCTAAAATACCTTCATCATAATCATAATTATTGCATGACATTGTACAGTGCAGACTTAAGACTGCTCGTGTGCATTTCTTTACCTTAACATTGGAACTCCTCTCCTCCTCCCCAGCCAAAAGTGCACTTAGTTCCTCCCTTCAACAAAATGCCTGTAGTCTGCCACTGGATGAATCACTGGAGCTGTCAGCCCTTCTCCCGACTGACAACCCTCCAACCTCTATAAAATGAGGCAGTTTGACAATATGCTGATGGGATGCCTTTCCTTCACTTGCTGCTATTGCCAAAATGGAAAGTGATCTATTAGCTATCTTACAATAAATTGTACATAATAGTTGCACTTACAGTTTCTTCTCTTTTCAAATATTCTACAGTCTGTCATATTCCCTTTACTCATTATTATTAAGCCCATTATATTATATTAGCACCTACAGGCCAGCTAGGTCAGGATCCCACTGTAGTGCTTGGAGCAGTACAAAAATATAGAAAATGAAAGTCCCTGCCCCCAAATACTTACAATCAAAAGCAAGCAAGTAAACAAACAAAAAACAAAAGAAGACAAAATAGGTAGATGAGACAAATAAGTGTGCCAGGGTAACAAATATAGTAGGATGTCAGCAATTCTTAGCCAATGAGGGTCAGTAATACTATATGATACTATATGTGATACTCAAAGTAGGGAATATTGCTGGAACCAGTCATAGCTCTTTAAAATTATTTAAGAACCACTCTGAATAGCACAGTTCATTAGAAGATCTCAAAGTGTTTACAACCATTGTCTGCCAGCACCACCTGTGAGGTTAGTACAGTGGCCTACATTTACCAACAGTTATCAGAGAAAGTATCAAAACTATCTGTTACTTCCTATTTAGAGAATGAAGGAAAACAATGATTAATAGTGACCCCCTGGCCTGTAACTATCTCTATGTTATGCATAAGTAAATTGAGGTACAGAAAAGTTAGGTGACTTCTCTCCTCAATTGGCAGAGGGAATCCAGGGCAGAATTCATTACACTGCTCTAACCACTAGACAACCTTTCCTGCCTTAAAGAAAAATCCAGAGTATTTTAGGAACTAACTAGATTTTTGTAAAAATAGAAAAAACTGTAGTTCATAAAAAGGTAAAACATTTTTCAAGGAGGCTGCCATTTTCCTACTAAAAAGGGAAGAAGTAAGAAATTAAGACAGGAAGAAATTCATTCTATATTGAAATGTGCAGTGTGGAAAGCAATAGATTTTGAATTCTGCTTTTAGACATATTTTAATATAGATGTCTCTTAAATTAATTATGTGAAACTTATTAACTTACCTGGCAATAAAACTAGCAAATAAAAAGTATCTTCCATGATTCCAGATGAAGATAGATAACCTGCATTCCCCTTCCGGAGAAAAGGAGCACTTCGATTTATCACTTTTCTCTGCCTCAGCCCATTGTCTAGACCAGCCTACTCCTGCAGATTATTTTTCTTCCCACCCTTCAGCCTGACATTAGCCCATTCACTGTGTTGTGGATCTCATTACTACACTATGCTTCCTTTTTCACCTCCATTGTACCTGAAGGTACATCCCTAGCTGGGATGATTTAGTAGGGGATTGGTCCTGCTTTGAGCAGGGGGTTGGACTAGGTGGCTTCCTGAGGTCCCTTCCAACCCTGATATTCTATGATTCTATGAAACCCAAACTACTTTTACCTATATTTTTAAAAAATGCACGTTGAAGCATATATACAACCAGAGTTCAAAGTTAGTTGCTTGCCCCATTTTTTATTTCAGTGCATAATTAATTTCTACTTGTTCTAATTTTTTGCCTGTTAGCGGGAAAATGGAAACTTTCATGGAAAACATTCAGACATTCAGAGACAGAGCAAATCTGACATTTCAAGAGCCATTTCTAAGTTATATTTTCTATTTACATAAGTGCGTTTCATGCAATGCTTGTTAAGCAAACATTGGCAGTTTTCATTGTATATTTCAGTTAACCACTTAGCTATGGCTGTTTCCCTCCTCCTGTTACAGTCTCTCCTATATATATATGGTCAGGTCCTGTACTAGCAGGCTGGTTAATGGATAGATGTTATTCATTGAGACAGATATTAACCTCTCTATCCTACCACTAACAGATTTTGGTGCTGTTCTCCCAGTAAGGGTTGGTGGAAACGTCACCTGAAATACCTACCAGAAGAAATGCCAGGGGGCAAAGATCCGCCCCGAGAGACTGGATGTGGAGCCGGGATGCTATTTAAAAAGCCCGCGCTCAGGAATCTCGAAAGAGACTTCACCCCAATGGTCGGGAAGGATCCTTTTAAAAGATAAAAATGATCATTAATCAAACAAGCTGTTCTTTGGCTGCTCAAAAGAAGCTGATTGTTTGAGAGAGTAAATGAACCCCTACAAAGTCAACAATGTCTTCACGGCAGCAGAGTCCATAAAATGCTGTTAAACGATAAAAACTGGTAACAATACAAACAAAACACACACAACCAACCAAAACAACAAAAAGAGAAAAAGAAAAAAAACCCCACACCACAAGCCATTAAGCGATACAGTGCTAGCAAGAGAGGGCTTGTTTCCTCTGGACCTATAGCTGGTACAGTGTTTAAATGGGAAATTTCAGAACTTCAAGGAAGAAGAATACAAAGAGATTCACTTTTAAAGGTGAAATCAACCTCTTAGATCCACATAGAGCAAAATAATTTTGAGATGCACTATCTCCATGTGTAAAACTCCCACTGATGTCAATGGAATTTCACACACATAATGGGAGCAGAACATCAGTCTAGATCTCTGCAGTCACCTGAAAGTAGAATTTTGTCTTGGCAGGAAATGATGTGAAAAATATCATTTCAAAAGTAGTTATGACAATACACTGAACTTGTCCTCATTTTATGTCATTTATTGATAGCTATTTTGATATATCGAAGATGAAAAGATTAAGGCCCTTAATCCTACAACAGGATCCACTGGGGAAGACCCAACTTCAATGGGGCTCCTCAGTTGCTCCTCAGAGATGGAAAAGCCTTAATTTCATTATAATTAGAAATAAATAGGTTTCTTAATCTTTATGCAGTTTCAATTTGTGGGGCCTCCTGTAGATGCAGAGAAACCCAGTTGAGCAAATTCATTCTGAAGAAACGTCAATTTTTTGTTGAGCCTGTGTAGCCTTAGAGAGATCTGAAAAAAAATGTTGCTCCTTTGGTTTTCATACACAATAGATCTGTTTTCCCTCAATACTTGCTTCATTTCCCCTTTTAAAACCTAAAGATGGTACAAAAATTATTACATTATGAAGAAAGAAAATTGATATAATTTATGTCTTAAACACAGAACCTTTATTAGGTATCCTTGAAGATCTTTCATAACCGAAGGGTGGGATCAAAACTCTAAAAAATAAATCAAAACAATTTCCTCCCCCCGCTATTCCGGGCAAGCCTAGTGTTGAGAGCCTTAATAAAATTTTCCAAATTCTCAGTTCTATCCCAGAAGTGTCCTTAATGAGCACTCCATTGGGCACTTTTGTACTAAGTTGTTTGATCCGGCAAAGGGATCTGCATGGGAAGATCCTTCCACCCACGCAAAGCTGAATGAAGTCAGAAAACTCAGCACAGATGTATCTCTTTGCAATACTGGGGCCCAAATCAGTAATTTTCTTTTGTGTAACCTAGTTTTCTCTCTAGGAGTGATCTATGGTCTGCCAATAATTCATTTTTATGGTAAGACAAATTAATAAAAAAAATTTAAGAAGAGTCACCGCTAAAGCTATCTTTGTGACTCTTTTTAATTTTTTTATATTAATTTATTTTACCATCAAGCATGAATTACTGGCAGGCTTTAGATCATCCATCACATCTACAGATGTGAAGAAGAGCTCTGTGTAGTTTGAAAGCTTGGCTCTTCTACCAAGAGAAGTTAGTCCCATAAAAGATACCTCACCTACCTTGTCTCTTAAGGTATTTAATAAAAAGTATATTGCAGAAGACTAAAAAAAAATTAGTGATAAAAATACAATATCAAAGGGGGAAAAACAAAAATTGTAAACATAACAGGAGGGCAGCTTGAAAAGTCTGAACATGCAAATCAACATAAGGAAGTGGATGTGTAATAGTAAAAATGAAATAACTGAGTTTCAGAAATGGTATAGAGAACTCCATGGCTATCTCTACAGAAAATAGAAGTTTCCCCTAGCTTAATGTGTTTGTTTTTTTAGAAAAGGAAGAAGCAGTCTTTATTCTGTTCCCAAGTCCAAATCATAGTTAGCAAAAAGTCTCTGCAGGCTCCTATGCTTTATGTTTCCAGCTGTAAAAGTATAACAGATATTTCTTTGCTGGGAGGTCGCTACTCTTAGGTCTATTCTAAATACAAATATTTTAAACAATTTTAAACTTTAAACAATGTTTAAAAGAAAAGTTTTCTTAAAACTGATAAGAGTGGACAGCATCCTGTTTTCATTTGAGTCAGGATAATATTTCTTTAATCAACTATCCGTCTTCAGGAATGCAGTTCTCCAAGTGTACTTCATTGAAAGGAGTGGGTTGTACATCTATTTTGTAAAGCATTATTTTGCTCTGCACAAATTTCTTGGAGGGAGAGGGGCAGTGTTACAGCAGGTGGAGAACCTTCAGAGTTATTACAGGTATTTAAAGGGAAAAAGTAGACAAGAAAAATAAGCCATAATTCCTGAGCAAGTTGAACACATTCCACTATATAGCCACCACATTAATGATTTCGTCACACAAAAGAAGATCATATATATAATTACACAGGCAGTGCCACAGTAATATGGAAAACTATAATTATTAAAAAAAAGTATTAGCAGAAAAAATAAGGGCAACAAAACCATTAAAGTATATGGGAAGTACTTGAAATATCTATCAGATATTATTAATCTACCATATATAATAGATAGATTTGGGTTCCCTAATAATGGTATATGGTTAGAACTCAGGGCAAACTTTCTTTCTTCCAGAGTCTTTACAACAAGGTTTAAAGCCAGAAAGAACAATTAAATCATCTAGTCTGACCTCCTATATATATTGTTATATCAGACCTATTATTTTAAACCCTGTTTGCAACCTTTCAGAATTTTGAAGGACAATACCATTGGATTGCAACTAACCAAGAACCCCAGAATGGCTTTTGTTCTTGTAGTTGGATCTCTGCGTGAGCACCTGCAGACACTTTCTGCTAACTATAACGCTGCAACACAGAAAAATGTTTTCTTTTTAAGCTATTCATCTGCATTTTGTGCAGCCAAAAATATTTCTGAATAAGAGAATGACTATATGATTATGCATTTGCTTTTTATGTAGACTATGAAAGGATATGCTTTCTATTCTGTAATTTCTAATTTTGTTGTTTCATTAATCCTTGCAAGATTTGAAACTGAATGTGGAAGTGGAAGAAAAAAAAAGTGTTCAGCCTGGTCTGTCAGAGAACTGAAGTGATCAAAGAGTGAGAACAAGGCACTTCAACTGAAGTGGTGAGAAAGAGCCTGGACAATAATTTTCTCATGAAAGGACGCTAGCAGATCACATTGCAGGACCAGGGGCAACGTGAGTACAGGAATCGCTTATTTTATACCACTGTACACCATTGCAATCATAAAAACATTTTTTTGGAAAACTGTTAAACTTCAAGCTATAAGTCAATTCTTCATTGGTGACATATTGTGAGACTTCTAGAGTCCATTCTTGCTTTATTGGCACCTTTTCTGATTTACACTGTCTTGTGAGGCACACAATTTCACAAGAAAAAAGAATAAGCAGAAATTTGCTTATGAGAAGTAGACCCAAAGAAAGTGAATAAACACAGAATTAATTTGGAAAGGAGATAAATAACATGGGATGATTTGAAACAGGAAATGGCAGCAATACAGTCCCAGGAACGGAGACCTTGGGAGTGGGGGTGGGGAGGGAGGTTTCAGAACACAGGCTCTAGCCCAAGCCTGAATTTCTACTCTATTGTTAGCCCTGTAACCATGACTCCCGCAAACCCGAGTCAATTGATCCAGGTTCTGAGACTCGCTGCCACAGGTTTTTTTGGTGTTTTTTTTTTTTGCAGTGTAGATGTACACCTTTTTAACACATCAGGGCAGATTCTGGTCCCCACTCTGGTAGTGAAAAGCAGCAGGAAAGCCATCTAAATTGATTATTTGAGGATCTACTCCCTCCCCGTCCATTCGCCATGAGCCGGCTGCACCATCTGCAGCCGGTTCTGTTCCGGACTGTGCCAAGGAAACATCTATACACGCTCGTGCTCCATGTTCTTCATGTCCTCACCCTCGCGTCCCGCCCTTATACGAAGTGGCGGGACTTTCTGCCACCTCTGGAGGGTGAGGAGCCCCGGTGGGCCAGCCTTTATTCTGCTCTGATCCCGAAGCCCACCGGGGACATCAGTTGGCGGCTCCTTCACGGAGCCGTGAGCACGGGCGTGTATTTGGCACGGTTTACCCCTATCCCAGACACCTGCCCCTTTTGCAGTGTGAGGGAGACCCTGGCGCATGTTTACCTGGAGTGCGCCAGGCTGCAGCCCCTATTCTGGCTCCTCACGGATATTTTGTTAAGATTTTGGTTGCACTTTTCTCCTCACCTTTTTATTTATGCACTTCCTATCCGTCGCCCCACAAAGTCGCGTGACCTCCTGGTCAACCTCCTTCTGGCCCTAGCAAAACTGGCCATCTATAAAACCAGAGTGAGGAGGTTGGCTGATGGAGTCTCCTGTGACTGTGGGGCGTATTTCAGGTCCTCCGTTCTTTCACGTATCCGGGCAGAGTTCCTCTGGGCGGCGTCCACTGGCTCCCTTGACGCCTTCGAGGAGCAGTGGGCGCTGTCCAGGGTTCTCTGCTCGGTGTCCCCATCTGGTTCGCTTCGTTTGACCCTTTGACCTCACTCCTGTCCCTGTTCTTTTATTAGTTGTCCCCCATAATTTTTTGGTCTCCAGGTCCTGTGGACCCCCCCTTAGGCTGGGGGGGGGATCCTTTAGCAGTGGGCTTCGCCCGCCCACTTCCTGGATCCCAATAGGATAAGGTAATCTCCAGGTGGTGCAGGGCTAGGACAATGGATTCTTTACTACACCCCTCTCTTTTATCTCAAGTAGAGGGTTTGGCTGGGGAGCCGCCACACCCAGCTGGTTCCTGTTACTGGAACAAATACTTGGGACAATAGGCAGTCAGCTGTAAGAAAGAACAGCTTTCAGGCCACCTTTGTACCTGATCGTGTATCTGGTTGATTATTTCCTACTCAAAAATACAGAGGCTGGTTTCATTTTTTAAAGTATTTTGTCCAGCAAAGGTGAAATCCAATT